ATGCAGCTTTCTGACTTGGGGGTAGCGTGCAGCCATGCATGATGGGCCACCTCCTGCTTCCTCACTGTCCTGCCAACCCAGAGCACCTTAGAAAGGGAGGCTGCTGATGCAAATGCAGCTGTGCCCAGAAAGGGACTGGTTTATTCCAGGTTGCTCCCTAGATAATTAGGACAAAAGAGATAGAAGGTTAGGGAAAACTATTTTGAAACTTTTGAAAATTCAGAATTTATCTTTTATTAATTTGTTTGAGTTACTATTACAAAATAATATAAACTGGTGGCTTACATAACAGAACTTAATTTTCTTGTAGTTCTGGAGCAGAGATGTCCAAGACCTCTCCTGAGTTCTCGTTCACTGAATATGTAGAGAGCTAGCTGCCTTTCTGCTGTATCCGCACATGTGACCTCTACTCTGTTTTGCTAGGGTATTTATTTATTTATTATTGGTGGTGTACTGCGGCTCAAACTCTGCCTCGTGCTTGCTAGGCAAGTACTCTACCACTTGAGCATGCCCCAGTCCTAATTTTTTTTTTTTTGCCGTTCTGAGGATTTGAATGTGATTTCTGAGGGCCTATACCTTGAGCCACTCCACCAACCCTTTTTTGTGATGGATTTTTTTGAGATAGGGTCTCTTGAACTATTTCCTAGGCTGGCTTCGAACCATGATCCTCCTGATCTCTGCCTCCTGAGTAGCCAGGATTACAAGCATAAGCTATTGACACCCAGCCCCTCCTCATTTTTTTATAAGGACACCAGTCATATTGGATGGGGGCCCACCCTAACAACCCCATTTTAACTTAGTCAACTCTTTAAGGCCTGTCTCTAAATATAAGAATATTCTGAGGTGCCAGTGGTTAGAGCTTCTGCGTATTTTAGGGGGAACACAATTCAGCTCATAACACATTGCTATTCCTGAGTGCATCTTTCTGCTTCTGTTGTATACAAATGTGTATCTGCAAAATTGTTTTTGTGCCTTTTGCATATAGTCCTTCCGATAAAAAGCCTAAGAGTTGATTGGAAAATGTCAAGTTAGGATGGTTAAATGGGACAACTGGTTCTGTGACATAAGAGAAAAAGAAAACCTGGCACTGGGAGGCTTGATCTTTGTTCTTTATAACTATTCCTGGAAGTGTTGCCCTCTTCCTGAAGGAAAACTCCCAAGGCTGTCTTTCTGTGTCTACTTTGAGCTTAGACTGTGGACAGCAGAGGGGGACCTGGCTCAAGCACTTTTCACAGAGAACACTTAAACGTCACCCTCATTTGTGAGATGGATAACTATATACCACAAACAAATGGGACTTACTGTCTTTGGGGAGCCCATTGGAAATCAAGGACCCCAGGAGCTTTTCAGACAGACAGGAAATGCCAGGGTGTGGGGGTGGGGGGCTATGGTAGGAGGCCACATGGGGGCCCTTGTCAACCTAGATTACCTGACTGAGTATGCTGCTTGGGGTTCCCTGATGTAAATTCTTGGATTCCAGGGGTACCCCTGTGCCCTCTGATATCACACTTCTGTACATGACGCTGACTACCTTAGCCCTGGAAGACTTCCTATCAGTGTGTGCTGTGCTCAAACTGGGGTCATGGGCAGGTAAAACAGTTCACATGGGAACTTTCTAAAATAGACTTTTATGGTGCGTGGTGATTGGTTCTAGCTGGTTAAATCCAGGCCCTAACTGCCTAACAGATATCCATCCTAGATTATCCTCATGTTTTTGCAAGGGGTCCTACCAACAGCAATTTTGCTGCCTGGAGCCTCAGCCAAGGGATAAGGCTGTTCAGAAAAGAGACAATAAATAGGCCCATGACTATGTTCTTGGAAAGGCTGTCTACAGGGCTGGCCCTTAGCTGGCACCTGGGAGCTCAGGTTTGGAGGAGTGGCTTCTTTGCGTCCACTAAGTGATGAATGACTCATTGTGCCTAAACCATTGGGCAAACAATGTGGTTTATGTGAACACCTGCTTTCCTCCTGGAAGTCTGAAGTTTTGGTATATGTTAGGCATGATGGATCAGTTCCCAATAAAACCCCAGGCTTTGAGTCTCCCTATGACCTTCCCTGGGTCATCACAGCTCATTGCTATGTCCATGTGACTCCACTGCTACTGGGAGAGGATAACAAGTACTTATTCACTGCTTTTGCTAAAAAGCACTGACTCCTTACTTGGGCACACAAGGTAACTAAAAGCAGGAGAAAAGCTGCTTTCTTCTTACCTCTGTCTTCTTTGCTCTGAGTCTCTCCTGCTGTCTCTTTGGGTTCCAGGAAGGACAGGACTAATTGATAACATCTTTATGGCAAGGGATTGAAGCCACCCCCAAGGAACATCAGAGCCTCCCAGGACAGACCCCCTCCCCAACCCAATGGGGACAGTTACCTGTGATCATGAGGCTGCATCCTGGAGCAGGAGGAATCACCTCATGGGGACCAGATTGCTCAAGTGATGACAGGATAACAAGCTCTCTAAAGTTGAACTTCACAGAAACAGAGCAGAGATAATGATCGACCAAGTCACACTTTGCCCAGGATTAATTATGTCCCCTGCCCAAATTCTTCCCCTATTTAAACCTAAAGATCGTGCTTCCTTTGCCTTTTTCCACTGCGTGCCAGTGCTGTGTAATAAATCTTCCTTCTCTGCCCTTCACCACTACTCATCTCTTTATTTGGTGTGTTGGGGTGAAGGGTTCCTCCCATGTTGGAACACTTGGAGTTGGGCTCTGGCCTAGAACAGCAGTTACCAGAGGACTCTGGGGAGATTGGACCAGGCTTCCTCTGGAGTTTTCCCCACGTGCCTTTTTCTTTGTGGATTTTGCTTCATAGTCTTTCACTATAATAAATTACAGCCGTGCACACAACTATTGGCTGAGTCCTGTGACTCTCTTGGTGAATCATCTAACTGGGAGGTGGGGTAAGGGACCCATTGCCGGGTGCCAGGTACTTCTGGGGTGTCAATAGTGTCTTCTTTCTCCATCTGGATACTTTTTATACAGTGTGTTCAATTTGTGAAAATTCACTGAGCTATACAATTATGACAAGAACATTTTTTCTATAAATATACTGAATTGCAATAAAAAGTTCAAATAGGTCAGGTGTGGTGGTACATGCCTGTAATCCCAATGCTTAGAAGGCTGAGGCAGAAGGATCTTGAGTTGGAGGTCATATTGTTTTTGAAATCTTGCCTGGAAAAAAAAAAGTTCAAATAAAAAATTACACACCATGGGGATAATATATATATTTCGGTGGTTTGAACTTAGGGGCCTCACACTCAACTAGGCAGGTAGGGACTCTACCACTTGAGCCACTCCACCAGCCCTTCGTGATGGGTTTTTTAAAGATGAGGGTCTCATGAACTATTTTTCTGGGCTGGCTTCGAACCCAATTTTCCTGATTTCTGCTTCTGGCATAACTAGGGTTATAGTGTGAGCCACCGACACCCAGCTAAAAATAATTTTTTTAAAAGTAAGCTTTTCTTGGAATGAGATGTGAGGTGGTGTTATGAAATGCTACTAAAATTATTTTTCCTCTCTCATGGTCCAGGCTGGTTAGAAGTATCCTTTCACTTTGAGTAAGTCTGCATTTTTCTGGTCAGTATTTATTTATAAAACCAGAGCTTTTGCTTGATCTCTGTGATAAATATTCATTCTCTTCCAAAAACAAACAACAACAAAAAGCAAGCTTTCCTTTTATCTTTCAGCAAACATCTAGTGCACCCCTTTTTAACAGGCACTGGTAACATGGGTGCCCGAGGGATGTGGGTGGACAGACAGCAGCAGTATAGTCATCACTGTCCCTCAGCCTAACTGGGAAATGATAGAGATATTTTCTCTACCGTCAATTTTTGCTCTGCCTCATAAGGTATTAAAAGGGAAAGAAAAAGACCTTCTAGTGTGGGATCCTGGCTCAGGTGGTAGAGTCCCTGCCAAGTGCAAGGCCCTGGTTCAATCCCCAGTACTGAAGTTAAAAAAAAAAAGCTTCTAACTTTTGTGTGTGTGTGTGGTGGTGCTGGAGTTTGAACTCAGGGTTACGGCTTAAACTACACCTCCAACCTCCAGTCCATTTTTGCTCTGGTTATTTTGGAGATGGAGTGCTCAGTGAACTATTTGTCCTGGTTGGCCTCCAACCGAGGTCCTTCCTATCTCAGCCTCCTAAATAGCTAGGATTACAGGTAGTGAGTCACCGGCACCTGGTTGGGCATTCTCTTTTTAAATGCTGTAAGTTAATTCAAAATTTTAAAATAAAACATTCTTGGTGGACAAATGTCACGACATGACCGGCCAGTTTGCTAGGCATTCTTCCAACCATCGTCCCGCCCTCTGACCAAAAAAACTGGCTACTATTTTAGGCACGGGGTGGTACCACAAGGCAGGCAATTTTCTGGCAAGGTCGGGGCGAGGTCTGGTGCTTTTCAAACTTCACTCCACGCAGTGATCACCTGAACTCTAGGTTAAAGTTAGATCCTGCCCAGCCAGACCTGGGATCAGGCTCCAAAAGTTCCTTGGAGGGTCTAACAAGCTTCCAGGTGGTGGCGCACTTGAGTGGTGTGCTGTAATTTAGAGGAGCTCTGGAACAGCTGTTGAGGGGCTAGAGATCTTGTTATGGAGGTGCGTTTGTCTGGCAAGCATCCTGTGTTTGCTTACATGTTAGTTTATTTAGGGTGGCTTTGCAGATGACTGAGCAGGCGGGTACTCTCCCAAGCTACCGATTGGCGCTGCCTGGTGTCTACGCTTAGAATTTCTGTTCTAGAAGGCGGAGAGGTTTAGCAAGAGCTTCCTGGACGAGGCGGAGGCCAACTCTGCAGCCAGAATCCCCCCCGCAGGAACTGGGTACTGCTGGGACAAGGTCTAGTCTCCCAGGACATCCCACGTGCCTGCGGGTCTCAGGTCCTTGTCAATCAAGCTTGCGGAGCTGCTTGATGGGCGTTTAAAGGCGGCTGCGGCTGCGCAGAACGCTCCCATGGTGCCGCGCGGCTGGCTGGTTTGGATTTTAAATCCCCGCGGCCAATCAGGGGCGCGTAGGCTCTTGTAACGTTCCCAGCGCGGCGTTTGAATTCGGGGAGGAGCGGAGCGGAGCCTCTGCAGCGACCCTTCCCGGTGCGCCGAGCAACTCTGGGACCATGAATGCAGCGGCGACTGCGGGGAAGCTGGCGCGGACACCGGCCGAGCCGGGAAAAGCCGGGGTCCCTGGAGTTGCAGCTTCTGGGGCCTCAGCGGCTGCCCCGCCGGCCAAAGAGATCCCAGAGGTCCTGGTGGACCCACGCAGCCGGCGGCGTTATGTGCGGGGCCGATTTCTGGGCAAAGGCGGCTTTGCCAAGTGCTTCGAGATCTCGGACGCCGACACCAAGGAGGTGTTCGCCGGCAAGATCGTACCCAAGTCTCTGCTGCTCAAGCCGCACCAGAAGGAGAAGATGTCCATGGAGATTGCCATTCACCGCAGCCTCGCCCACCAGCACGTCGTCGGTTTCCATGGCTTTTTTGAGGACAGCGACTTCGTGTTCGTGGTGCTGGAGCTCTGCCGCCGGAGGGTGAGCTGGACACACCGGAGCTGCTCGGGGCTCGGATTGGGGCGCTCGGACCAGGGGTGGAGTTCCCTAGGAAGGGCAGCCCGGGCCATGGAGCTGCGAGGGAAGGGGTGCTGGGTAGCCCGAGCTACTCTAGTGAAGGGTGCTTGTCACTCGGGGCTGCTAGGGTGGGATTCCGGATTGGTGGGGCCGCAGTCACTTTGCTACTAGGGAAGGGTCCTGGAGGCGACGTGGATGTGGCCGGGTGCAGGTAATGGATGCGAAGGCCCAAGAGATGCCAAAGGAGGCCCGGGGTGGGGCTGGGTTCGCCAGGGATACTTAGAGCCAGATCCCGAATTTCCGGGAAAGGGAGGGAGCTACTGGGAGGAGGCCGGGGAGGAACGCTGGGGACTTCCAGCTGGCAGAATGAGGCTGATGAGGATGGGGTGGCTAGTAATATAGGGAACGCTATGAATGATTGCGGCCAGTGGGCCAGTGTCCGAGCAGGTCCTAGAGGAAGAAATGGCAGGAAAGGAGAGAAAGCTGCCAAGCCCCCTCTTTCATTCCCCCCGAGGGTCCAGGGTCTGGTCCTGGGCCGTCTGTATCTGACCACCCGTCCTGGGCCTCAATCTCCTCCCCACCCGCCTGTACGCAGTCTCTTCTGGAGCTGCACAAGAGGAGGAAAGCGCTGACCGAGCCCGAGGCCCGCTACTACCTGCGGCAGATCATCCTGGGCTGTCAGTACCTGCACCGGAACCGTGTCATTCACAGGGACCTGAAGTTGGGCAACCTCTTTCTGAATGAGGATCTGGAGGTGAAAATAGGTGAGATGCTGGTCCTTCCATGCCTGACATCGGGGCTGGAGATGGTGTAAAATGCAAACCTTGAGCTCTTGTTCAGCCACGTTAAACCCCTATCAGCTGGAGAGAATGCTTTATTGACAGGGACTTGGGACCACAGGCAAATGGGATGTCCTGGAAAACCAAGACCCAGCGTGGGGATTCTGAGCCCTGTCCCCAACTGAATTGGGATCCTGCAGGATTTCTGGCTTCAGAACTGGCCTGCATCCCCTCCAGCAAGCACTTGTTAAACCTCTCTGCTTTCTAGAATAGAAACTCTAAGCTTTAGACACCTGGCAGAGCCAATAGGTAGGTTGGGAGAGCACCCCCTCCCTGTCAGCTCTGCCAAACCATCGGGGAGGCTGGGGGCAAGGAAATAGGAAGGATAGAGGGAGGAGAGGATAGTGGAAGTCTGCACTGTAAAGTCCCTTTACCAGGAAATTTAAAACAAAGAGCCCCAAACCAGTGTCTTGAATTCAGATGTACTATTTTTCTGTCCCAACACAGTACTTTTTGAAAGAATTTGATTTTAGCTTACTTTTATTTGGGGTTGGGGGAGGACTACCCTGAGCATTCTGGGAAGACCCTACTGCTAAGCCACATCCCCAGTTAGTTCCCATTTTTTAAACTGGGAGCTTGACATACACATTTGTGTTTGGAGCTCCCTTTAAACTACTGGAAACTGCACAGCACAGCAGCAGCATTCCCTCAGGGGGCTTTTTGCTGAGCTGAAAAGCAGCTGTTCACCAGGCATGTTAATGCACGTCTGTAATCCCCACCACTCGGGGATGCCAAGGCAGGAGGGTCAGGAGTTTGAGGCTAGCCTGAGGAAAGTTAGTGAGATCCTATCTAAAAAGCAAAATATAAACAAAAGGGGGGACTGGGGGTGTGACTTAAGTGGTAGAGCGCCTGAGTTCAAAAGAATTAAAATAAAATAAACAAAAGGGCTTGTGGTATGGCTCAAGTGGCAGAGTGCATATATAAGGCCTGGTACAGTGCCCCCCAAAATAAGAAATTAGCCACTGTCCCCTTCTTTAGTCTCCCTCTGGTTTGCCACAGTTCTTACTACTCCCTGTTACTTCTTCGTGAACTTGTGAAATAGCAGTCTTTTTCTTTTTCAAGTTAATTTTATAGAATACTGGGTTTCACCATGACATTTGCATACTTGCATATTACATATTTTGAATGTATCCCTCCCCCACTCCTAATTCCTGAAGACCTTTGGGTCCTGCTGTCCCTGTAACTCCCTTTTAGAAGCACGGCCTCCTTTTTCAGGGGAGGGTGAGAAGGGTCAGTGGGAGGCTGTCCCTTGGCCAGCACAGTGTAGAGGGAGATTTCTGGGCAGGACTTGCTGAAGGTGGGAACAGGGGCTTGTAAGATCTGACTGCCTCGGTGCTGGGTGGCCAAGCCTGAGCCAGCTGTTGGCAGTGACAGGTGGCAGAGGCTACCATCTGAGTACCCCCTCTTTCTCCCTCTGTCCCAGGGGATTTTGGACTGGCAACCAAAGTGGAATATGATGGAGAACGGAAGAAGACTTTGTGTGGGACTCCAAATTACATAGCTCCCGAGGTGCTGAGCAAGAAGGGGCACAGTTTCGAGGTGGATGTGTGGTCCATCGGCTGTATCATGTAAGTTAGGGTCTCAGGACCCACTGGGATTCACCAGGCGCTCTTTGAGAAGCCTCACCTAGCTGACCTTATGCTGCAGATTATTCTGCCTTGTGGAAAGGCTGTTCCAGAGGACGGGTTGCCTCAAAACAAAGCCTAATTTCCATGTGTTCCCTTGTCACTCTGGTGCAGCCTGTGGGATTTGGGCTGTGGTCCAGGGAAAGGAGCAGGAGGCCTCCCCAGCCATGCTGTAACTACCTGCTACACAGCATGGGCTACAGACCCATTAATCACCTGGGAACTTTCTAGAAATACAGGATTGCATTTCTAGATCCTGGACTCAGGATCCAGAGTTCTTAGTGAATCTAAATCTGAACTTTTAACGAGTTCCCTGAGTGATTTCCTTTGCACAGTAAAGTTTTGGGAACCCTATGAGCACTGGGTGGGAGAAACTCAGCAAGGAGTTAGGCCAGCAGGGGGAGGTTAGTGTGACCTGTGGATCCAGGTCAGCAAAGGGTTAGGGTGGTTGGCAGAGCCTTGGGGCTCTCCAGCTTTAACTTCTGTTCTTGGCATGGGTACTGAAGAGTTAGACATGAGTTGTAGCAATGATTTCCACACTTCTTTGCAATGGAACTTTTTTCCCAATAAAAACTACAAGCTTTTAAGTAAAGAACTACTAAACATAGAGCTCCCTCTGCAGGACAGTCCCTGGCCCCCTGGAATCCAGGTCTCGACACCTGCATTCTACTGAGGGCTCATCTCAGCCATTGATTTCCTGGGCCAGCTAACCAGACTTGGAGATTGTCTTCTGGGGTCCCCAAGTCAGTGAGTGTCCAAAGGGTGCCTGCCCTTCTTCTGGCCCCGAGGTGAGTCCTACATCTGGGTTTTGGTTGGGAACCTTGAACCAGATCCCACTGTGTGTTTACAGGTATACCTTGCTAGTGGGCAAGCCACCTTTTGAGACCTCTTGCCTAAAAGAGACCTACCTCCGGATCAAGAAGAATGAGTACAGTATTCCCAAGGTGACTAACAACACTGTTTAATTTAATTTCCCCTAAAGCTATTAACCGAGCCCAGCTATATCGGGACAAACAGGACTGTCCTATCCCTAGGGCAGCCACAGAGCCTTGTGAGTCTGTGTCTAATTCTGCCTACAAAACTGGATGCCTATGTAAGAATATTTTTCTAGGAGGAGAGAGTCTGTAGACTCTTTGAGGTAGCTTCAAGCCATATGGAAAGAGCAGAGGGAAATGGGAGGAAGCAGCGCAGAAAAGTTTAAGCTGTGGAAATGGGCGTCTTGACCCAGATGCACTCTGCTATGTAGCATCCAGAGGGCAGATGAGCTCACTTCTGAACTAAGGCTCCGTCTGTAAAATAGAGCTACCACCTGTGGAGTGTCTTACCCAGGGCCTTGCATACAGTAAGCGTTTACACAGTTGTGAGCCACTGTGAATCTAAGGGCTTCCCCTGGCAAAATGGTACCCATGTTCATAACCACTGCATAAACACGTTTAAAGGAATAACCCACTTCTGTAGAAGCCAGGCATATGGACACTTTCTAGCGTAGTGTCTTTGACTTGTATGACGCCAAGAGCCCTGTCTCCACAAGGACAGATAAAGTAAGTGTGTCTTGAAGGGTCAGTTCACTGTCAAGAGAGATCAATGAATGGCTTCAACCAACTAGATTGCTTGGGTGTGACTGATTACTGGCTCTGCCACTTACTAGGTGTGTGTTCCTAGACAAGGAACTTACCTCTGTGTCTCAGTTTCCTCATCTGTAGGTGAGGGATGGTGTTGGAGTCCCACTAGATGTTGTGAGGGCCAAGCTCACTAACCTACAGGAAGTTCTTGAGACACATCCCTGGCGCACAGTTAAAGCACAGTTCATCTGGCTCATGCTGCAGCTTGCCAGTGGCCCAAGCTTGGCACCGTACCTTCGTGTGACAGGTGCAGAAACAAAGGCCTAGAAAGTCCAGGTTACTTGTCATCTGTCAGTAAGGGACAGAACCAGGATGGAAACACAGATTTTGGGACTTGGAGGCCTGTGTTCTCATGTACTCCCCTAGTGGTGCACAGCTTCAGGTGTATAAGGGCAAAGGCTTGAATATCAAAAGGAAGAAAAAATGGCCACTCCCCCACTTAGGTTGACACTTGTTCACCTGGTAAAGCTGATTGTGGAGGACTTGGTGTTGCCGATGGCCACTGAGCCAAGGTATGTTGGAGAGCGGGGCTGGCTGCAGCCTGGCTGACCTGCAGTGCTGCCCTTGGAGTCCCCCATCTCACTTTGCTTAAGGCTGTCCCTCTCTGCTGCAGCACATCGGCTCTGTGGCTGCCTCCCTCATCCAGAGGATGCTACAAACAGACCCCACCGCCCGCCCCACCATTCAGGAGCTGCTGGACGATGAGTTCTTTACCTCTGGCTACATCCCTGCCCGCCTCCCCATCACTTGCCTCACCATCCCTCCGAGGTTTTCCATCGCTCCCAGCAGCCTGGACCCCAGCAACCGGAAGCCTCTCACAGTGCTCAATAAAGGTAAGACATGGCTTGGGAGACATGACTAAATAAGATAGCCCAGCCTAGGCTTGAAGTGCACATGCAGTTTCGTCCCTGGTCCCCAGAGCAGAATGGTGTGGAGTGGGACTCATCCTTGAGTCCTATCCCTCGCCCTGCCACAAAGGATTGATCTTAGTGTGATTGGATCAACCCAGTGGGTCCAAGGAGAAAATGAACTGAATGGCAAGCCTGAAAAATTCTCTTGATTCCTTTAAAAAGTCCCTAACCTTGCTCTTGTGTGGTTCATTGAAATAAAAATTGCAAAATTCCAAGCATACCACAGAACAGAATGCAGTTGGGTCCTCCCGTGGACTCACCAGACTCAACAGTTACCAAGATTTTTGACTCATTTTCTTTACTCCTTATTGTTCCTTTTGATGTTTTAATTCTTTTTTTTCAGGTTTTTCTTTTCTTTTTTTTATTTTGCGGTATGGGGTTTGAACTCAGGGGCTTCACCTTGAGCCACTCCACCAGTCCTATTTTTGTGATGACTTTTTTTGAGATAGGGTCTCATGAACTATTTACCTGGTCTGGCCATGATCCTTCTGATCTCTGACTCCTGAGTTGCTAGGATTACAGGCATCGGCCTCAGGATTTTTTTCTTATTGATGTATATTAATCATACAAAGGGGTTTCATTGTGATATTTTCATACATGTACATATTATACCTGGACCTATCAGTTTTTTCCACTTTCACCCTTGTTCTATGCCAGGACCCGATTCAGGACCCCACATGGCCTTTAGTTAACCTTGTCTTCTTAGTCTCCTCCAGCCTGTGACAGTGTCCATTTTTCCTTGTCTTTTGTGACTTTGGCACTTGTGAAGAGTACTGCAGTTATTTCTTACAATGCCCATCCATTTGGATTTGATGCTTCTTCATGGCTGCATTGAGGTTCTGCCATTTTGGACAAGAATGCCACGGAAGCGATGTGCTGTTATTAGTGTGTCATCTGGCGCGTGGCTGAGTTTTCCTGTTACCTCTGATGTTAGCCTTGGTGACTCAGTTAAGAGGCATTTGGTGGACTTCTCTGTTACTATTCCCCTTATGTAACCAACGTATATTGAGACTGTTCTGTTTCTTCTCGAACAGTCACCAACTAGTCTTAGGCTTGCATTTTGGTGCTGGGGAACAAGCCCGGGGTATTGATGGTTTTTCTCTTGTCCTCCCTCCTACATTTTATTAATTGAAAGTCTTCCATGATGAAGAGTCGTTCCTTCTATCTAGCCTGTTTGTCGGCGATTCATGTCAGTCATGGGCTCATGGTTTTTTATTTTATTCTTTGGGTTATAATACTATTTTAAGGACTGCTTTTTACTCTCTTGGTTTTGATTCTGAACATATAATAGTAAAAAAAAAAAAAAGTCTTGTTATGGATGTTTCAAGCCTATGCAGAGTAAAGAACTGGATGGCGACCCCCCTGCTACCCTGTCCCTTTTCAGTAGTTATCAGCATTTGGCCAGGTTTCTTTTTAGGCATTTCACCTCTACTGTGTTTTGCTAGGGTATTTATTTTGGTGGTACTGGGGTTTGAACTCAAGGCTTTGCTCTTGCACAGCAGGCGCTCTACCGCCTGAGCCATGCCTCCAGTTCACTTTACTCTGGTTATTGTGCAGATAGGGTCTCTTGAACTGTTTGCCTGGCTGGGCTCATACCATAGTCCTCCCAGTCTCAGTCTCCCAAGTAGCTATGATTACAGGCGTGAGCCACTGATGCCTGGCTTTGCTAGGGTTTTCAAGTTAAATTTCAAATAGTTTATTATTTCACACTTAAGTTCCTATGCTTATGGCATAGGATTTTTTTGAGACAGGGTCTCACTTGATCCTCCTGCCTCACGGTCCTGAGTTCTGGTTCTACCGAGCCTGGCATGAAAACCTATTTTAAGAAAAAATTTCATATTATACAAGGAGAACTTAGCATATTGGTAGAGGAAAAATTAAACATTTAAGCATAAAGAAAAAAAAGATCATCCATGATTCTAATGCCCCAATATGTTAAAAATTTCACTGGCTATCTTTTTAGACTCTGAAGCACCTTTTGGGTAGAAAAACCTCTTGGGTTTTTATTTAAAGCCTACGGGTATGGTATCACCTTGCTGGCAAGCTGTGATCCACCTGGCCCTCCCAACTTCCTGGGGCTGAACATGCCATTAATCCTTTGCTTGAAGTGGCTGGTGCCTTCAGGCAGCCTCCTCCAGTGACAGGTTGGTCAGAGGCCTATGTGCATGAAGTTCTGTGGCCTCACGGTGCACATCACACACGAGCATGGCAGCTGCTGCAATTATCACCTGGCACTGACTCAGTTTCCTCAAAGCAGTGGTAGTTAAGAGCTGTTCTCTGGCAAGAGTGCCGGCTGTGCCAGACAGTTCTGTGTCCCCTTGCCTATTTCTGTGCCTAACTAATGACCATGTCATCTCCTTAGGCACAGAGAACCCCATGCCTGAGCATCCCCGGGAAAAGGAGGAAGTAGTGGTTCGAGAGACAAGCGAGGCAGTGGAGTGTCACCTTGGTGACATGGTGAAGCAGTTGCACAGCGTCAATGCCTCCAAACCCTCAGAGCGGGGCCTGGTGAGGCAAGGTGAGCAGGGCAGGGCCTGGGTGTCTGGAGAAGGCAGGGCCAGTCTGAGACAAGTGTTAGTGGCTTGTCCAGGCCCCTGTCTCCTTCATGCCTTTGGTTTCCCCACTTCATGTAGATCCAAGTCCAATTGTGTTAGCCTGACTTCCACAGCCCTCCATGGGTGGGCCTTCTTTCTCAACTGTCTCTTCTGCTCTACGAGAACTCCATCCTTTAGGTGGCTCATATGCAATCAGGGATTGTTCACGCACTGGGTAGAGCGATTTGGTGTATTTGGAATTGTCTCTCTGCTCCTAGTTCCTTAATCCCTTCAAACTGGAGCACTGGATAATCTCTCAGCCCTGACTCTTACCATGATAGGAGCAACTTGCAGGGTTTGTCCACGTGCATTCTGATTTATCTTTGTCCCTATGATACATGTGTAAGCTCCAAAAGCCAGGGATTTTGTCTCTTGCTCAAGTGCCTGTGACAGTGCCTGGCGCACAGTAGGTCTTGGCCAAACAGGTCAAGCAAAGGAAGAAGTGAGCTGTGCTTGGTGCACCGTGCTTTGACTTTCCATTTGGATGTCTGGGCTGGTTGGTGACAGAGCCTCTGCTGTGCTCTTCTCTGGGCCCCAGGCTTCTTGGGGAGCCCTACCAGGATCCCAGTGTTTCCCTGGTGGACCAGAGGGAGAGGCTGGCCCCCCCAATCATCTCTCTTTCTGTTGCAGAGGAGGCCGAGGATCCTGCCTGCGTCCCTATCTTCTGGGTCAGCAAATGGGTGGACTATTCAGACAAGTATGGCCTTGGTATGTTCCTTCCAGAATGAGGGATGGTTTCAGGGTGGCCAAGTGACCTTCTAAGTTCTAGACGCTGGCATTCTGTGGCTCCCAGGTGGCTCTTCTCTCAACACTCTGGTCTCCATCCAGGGCCCCCAATTCCAGCCCCCTATTCCCTCCCCTTTCTGAAGTCTCTCTCCACCTCCTAGGCTATCAGCTGTGTGACAACAGTGTGGGGGTGCTCTTCAACGACTCCACCCGCCTCATTCTCTACGATGATGGCGAAAGTCTACAGTACATAGAGCGGGATGGTACCGAGTCCTACCTCTCTGTGAATTCCCACCCCAGCTCCTTGACAAAGAAGGTGAATGCTGGCACCCAGCGGGGTGGGGTGGGATGGGATGGGACACATGACACAAGTGTCCTGGGAATGGGGCTGTGCCAGGTCTCAGGTCCTCATTCTGGGGTTCTCCTTCCCCCACTTTGCAACCAGATCACCCTCCTCAAGTATTTCCGCAACTACATGAGCGAGCACTTGCTGAAAGCGGGTGCCAACATCACGCCCCGGGAGGGCGATGAGCTGGCCCGCCTTCCCTACCTGCGAACCTGGTTCCGCACACGCAGCGCAATCATCCTGCACCTCAGCAATGGCACCGTGCAGATCAACTTTTTCCAGGTGGGCTGGGGGGAGTGAGATGCATGGGTCCCTGTCCAAGTGGGCATTCTCCAGGGATGTCTTCCACACACTAGCAGCTGGGTGGGAACTTAATCTCCCTCCTTCTCTCCTAGGACCACACAAAACTCATCCTGTGTCCTCTGATGGCGGCCGTGACCTACATCGATGAGAAGCGGGACTTCCGCACATACCGCCTGAGCCTGCTGGAGGAACATGGCTGTTGCAAGGAGCTGGCCAGCCGGCTGCGCTATGCCCGCACCATGGTGGACAAGCTGCTGAGTTCCCGCTCTGCCTGTAACCGCCTCAAGGCTTCCTCCTAGGCCCCTGCCTCGGGACTGGTGCCCCTTTGCTCCCTGGCCCTAGTGGGCCCCCATGGGTGGGGCGGCTGTAAGTTATTTTGTACATGTGCGGGTGTGGCTTTTCTAGCCTCTGCCCCGGCCCTTGGCACACTGTTTGAATTGTACAGAGTATTTCTATTGAATTCGGGACGTCCCCTTCCTTGGCTTTATACATATTAAAGATTTATGAATTTTTTTCCTGTTTAGTATTTCCTTGAGGGCCTGGGCTTCTGGGCTTGTTCTGCTCCAGCAGCTACAGGTGGCCAGGCCACTGCTGGTTCTTGAGCCTGCCTCTGTGGTCCTGGCCACCTTGGCTCCCTGTGGCCCCTATTGGGGCTCCCTGGCCTCAGAGGCCTGTGGGTAGTAGGGCAGGAAAAGGCTCTCGAGGGCACAGCTCCTCATGGCGCGGTGAGTGTGGAGAAGCAGCTGCGGGAAGCGCTGAGTGAAGTACTGGATGAAGCTGTCTGGGACTTGGCCCAAGGCCTCCTGCACCTCTGCCGGGAGCTCCCTGTAGTGGTGCTTCTGAGGGAGGGCAGAGCAGGGAGCCTGGCTCAGTTGGGGCAGGATCTCCTCGAACCCATGCCCCAGGGGCCCTAGAACACACCTTGTTCCTTATGGCACGGAGCAGGTCTCGCACGGATGTCCCCTTGTACGACCGGAACCTTCTCAGATCTGTGGGTAGAAATGGGCTGCAGAGGTATCCCCGCTGGGTCCCTTCAGTCCCCCACACCCAGGCCCATCTTGAGCACAGCATCTACCTGTCTGCAGTGGCACGGAGATGTGCTTGTACCAGTTGTCTCGGATCACCTTGTATCCTCCTGCCTCCAGTGCCACCACCAGTGGCCCCTGCTCAGATTCCTTCTCCAGCCAGTCACTGACGTCCTAGGGCCCCACACAGCTCCTGAGCCTTGTGATCAGTGCCAGAGGCCCCAAGGCCAGGAGTGTGTTGTGTGGCTTAGGGGTGTGCAGCAGCAAAAGGCCCTTGGGTTAGGGTGACAGGACCCTTGCTTCTCGGGGACAGCAGCTTCTCTGTGTCATGCCTCTGTGACACTCAGCACACAGGAAGAAGCACTACTACCTCCATTCTACAGATAAGCAAACAGCCTCAGCACAGCCTCTTACTCAAGGTCATGCAAATGGAATGAGTAGGAATGGGTACAGCGTGGGTGACAATGCAGGTGGCAAGGTGTGGGGTGTATTTCTGTGCAAAGGGCAACTGAGCTGGGAAAGCTGGAAATGACTGACCCCTGAGTGCCAAGATGGCAGAGACTAGGAATCCAGACTTCTGGCTTTGACAAGACATGCACTTGGGATACTTGGGAGGCTATTCCCAAGATCTCCCTCTGACCTGGAAGAACTGGAGCTGCTTGGCTCGGCTCCAAAAGAGGGGGTGGGCCAGCACCTGGCATGCAGAGGGCCTGGCCTGCGGCAGTGGGCTCAACATGGCTTCCACCAAGTCCCTGGCCATGACCTGGTCTGGAAGGTAGAGGAGAGATGGTTCATGCCTGCTGGCCTCCCTCCCTCCTTCCTTCCTCCCTGCTCTGCTGGCCCAGCTGGCCCTCACCATGGGCCTCTTCCTCCAGGTGAGCCAGACAGGGAGCACCTTCCAGGATGTTGGCCTGGCGATAAAGACTCTCCCCAAAGGGGTGGCTTCCGCTGGAAAGCACGTAATAGAACACGCAGCCCGCGGAGAAGATGTCCACGGCGCTGGTCTATGGGGAGAGTCATGGGCATGAGAAGGAGGAAATTCCCCTGGGACCAGCCAGAGCTAGGGGGTGATTCAGACCAGAACTTAAGGACACTTCCTGGGCGCCATTTTTGGCTCTGGACCCCTCCCCTCTGCACAGGTGGAGGTGCCAATGGTTGCCGTCCCACACCTTTGCCCTGCATTGTGCTTCTGGTCAGGTTTCATAGCCGTCACAAAAATGAGAAGCTGGGGGAGTGGGGGGCGTGAGGCAGTAGATGGGGATGAGGACTTCACAGGCAGCTGGTCCCTAGCTCTAGGTAGTTGTCACCAGTGGGTACTGCCAGGTGGCAGAGCTGATGCATCTGGAAATCCAGGTTTTTATGTGGAATTTCCCCAATGTCAAAATAAAAATTCAGGCTCATGACTTCCTTGTATTTAGTCCTTGGGTCTGCAGGCCACACCTCGGAGCTTTCTCCTGCAGTCAGGAGAGGGAGCAGCTCTGCCTAGTGACTGTCCTCTTATGATGGTCATCCTATGGCCACAGCCTTAACTTCCAGCCGCACACTCAACGGGGTCATGCTGCTCTCTGCTTAACGATGCCCCTCATTTCAGCTGATTCTCCCTAGAGCCCCACACAGCTGAGGTTTTCAACCTTAGCTCCACATTAAAATCACCTGGAGCTGAAGGTCAGGACCACCTTTGTGGGGCTTTTTTGTTTTGGAAGACAGGGACTTTCTATATAGCCCAGGCTGGCCTCACACTGGTGATCTTCCTGCTGCAGCCTCCCGAGTGCTAGGATTACAGGCATGCATTTCCACACCTGATTTTTTTTTTTCTTTTTAAGTTTGTGAAGCACCAGTGGGCATTAGAAATCATCCTCTAAGCCACATGAATGTACTGCAGGAGGAGCTGCCCCGTTCACTGTAGCAGCATCCCTGGCTCCAACCAGGAGATGCCAATAGTACTCCTGTCCTAAGTCAAGACAACTAAAAATGCCTTCTGACAATGTCTTGTGTCCCCTGGGCTGCAGAATAGCTCCTGATGGAGAACTGCTGCTGTAGGTAAGAAGTGACAGGTCATCCCTCCCTCCCCACCCCCAGCAGATGAAAAATGGGCCTGGATGAGTGGCTCCCAGCCACGTTTATGGAGCCTCATCCAGAGGGAACTGGGGTGGTGGGCAGACTCACAGGGCTGTCCAGGGGCAGGAGCTGTAGGAGCTCAGGGGCCATCCAGCCTTCTGTGCCAGGGATGCCCGAGTGGAGGCTGAAGCTGCAGTGGCCAGCAGGTAGCTTCTTGCAGAGGCCGAAGTCTGAGAGGACAACTCTGCCTTGGCCCTGGCTGTCTGGTCCAGTGATGAGAATGTTGCCGGGCTTCAGATCCCGGTGCACTGTGGGGGGAAACGGGGAGGGATCTGTGGCAGGTGTGGGGACACTGGGAGCTGAGGATGGGAACGGGACGTGGTGTGTACCTATGTGCAGGGAATGCAGGTGAGCCAGACCAGACATCATCTGCTGCAGCACCATGTTCGACTCCAGGCCCCAGTGTTCCAAGCTGGGGTTCTCCACGTACTAAACAGCAGGGAGGGACCGTGTTGCTATCTGTCCAGAGCCTCCCACCCTCCCTGAGTTGGCAACTCACCTCCTGCAAGGAGGCCCGGCAGAGCTCCAGGGCAATGTAGTGGAACTGGGGGCTCCGCTCCGTGCAGAAGTAGCGGAGCACGTTGGGGTGCCTGTCAGACTCTTGCAGCAGCTGGACCTCCCGCCGAACCAGGCCAAAGCACTCCCGGAGGAGGCGCTTCACAGCCACTGCCCGCCCCTCAAACTGTCCCCTGGGAAGGGGCAAAGATGGAGGGTTCAGAGAGAGCAGATAAAGGAAGGGATGGGAAATAGTGAGGGGTCAACCTGTCCCCACCTCGGGGAGTCTGAAAGAATGGCTTTCCAAGGGGAAGTGGCCAAAGGGCTGCAAGGGCCATGTTTGCAGCCTGCACTCACCGGAAAACGAAGGTCCCACCTGCACCTCGACCCAGCACATCCTGATGGTTGAAGGAGATCTTCCCCACCACTGTGAGCTGCTCAGCTAGGGAGAGGAGGGCAGTGGCGTCTCATGCTTGGTGCCCACAGACGCCCTCCTTGGTCCACCTCTGTCAGTCACATCTAGGCCTAGTCCAGACCCACCCTCCACCTTCACCTTCTTCCAGACTGCCAACCTTCCATGCCTAACCTAGTTCCATGGTGAGAGGGAGGGCCCAGGCCCCAGCCTAATGAGTCCGATACCTGGTACTGCTCTGACCGTGCGTACACAGGCAAGTCACTGAACCTCAGTGACCCTGGCTTTCCCATCTGTGCTAATGATCCCGATTCATGTTAATGTGAGGATTAAATGACTAGATGGAAAGAGGGGTGGGTGTGATGTTTGCTGTATGATCTTGTTTTTTAGCAGTACTAGGGTTTGAACTCAGGGCCTCGTGCTTGCTAGGCAGACTTGCCCTACCACTGGAGCCACTCCCCCAGCCCTGTTTTGTGTTGGGCTTTTTTGAGAGAGGGTCTCACAAACTAATTCCCTAGGCTGGACTAGAACCGAGATCCTCCTGATCTCTGCCTTCTGAATAGCTAGGATTACAGACGTGAGCCTGGCTGATTCTGTTTTTTGGTATCTCCGATTCAGGTGTCCTTTCCTTCTTTCCTCTGTCACCCCTCCCTCCACCAGTTGTAACTGAATCCTTTTGTGGTTGGATTGGCTTTAAGTAGGAAGGGAAACTTGACAGCAGGAAGCATGATGGCAGTGAGCAAAGTTGTAGAAAAGACTAGGCAACTGGGCATGCTGATGCACACCAGTAATCTCAGCACTCGGGAGGCTGAGCTTGGAGGATCAGGAGTTCAAGGACAGCCTGCACTACATAGTGAGATCTTGTCTCAGAAAGGATAAAAATGAAAGCAAGACTGAACTGGTGGGGGAAGCAGTGGGCATTGGAAATCTACACTGCCCCAGTTAGTTCTAGGGTGGCAAGGAGCCCCCAAAGGCCTGGCTTTCTTGTTGGATGGGTGGGACTGGCTCAGGCCAGCAGGTTTGGACAGTCACTGCTCCTCCTTTTGAGTAGCCCACTAGAGACTTCTCTTTCTGGCCCAAGCACCATTGGCAGGCTGTGCCCTGTTCAGCTTCAAGGGGCAGTGTTCAGATAACTAACTGCATATGGCGCCCCTAGAGCTGTGCAGTACAGAGCCCGAGCACATTCTACTTAGGAAGGGCTGCAGGCTTCAGTCTCTACCACCAGCTCTAGGTAAAGCAAATGGAAATCAACATTAGGGGTCCTCTAGAAAAGCATCCAGTTGTGCTCTGTGGTATTTGTCTCAACATTCACTCTGACCTTGATTGAGGGTGCAGGGTCTACACTGGACTCAGTAGTGCATGGTGGCACGTCCAAGATGGTATTGCAAGCATTCCACCCCCACTATCTCTCTGGCAGTTGAGAGCAGGGACACTGTTGGTTGACAACCTAACAAGCCCTGACTCTAGGTGAGGTTCTTGCTTCTGGGCCCTCCTTGTACCACTCACTCTGTTCTGCCTGGATTCCACTCCCTGTGCACCTGTCTTTCCATTCTCAGTGCCTTTGTGTTGGTGGTCACTGGCAAGAACTTGTTGGGTTAGGTGTAAGGTCAAACTCTCAATGCTGGATAGAGGCCAACCTTAGGCCACAAAGGCCTTTAATGCAGAAATAATGTTGGAGGAGGCTCTGTGTGAACACCCAGGCATTTGCCAGTCTTCTGCATCATTATGATGAAGAGACAGCAATAAGTTATAAAGTAATCAAAAGTAGTCAGGTTGGGGGAAAATGCCATACAGGCAGAATTAACATTAGAAATCCCAAGATCAAGGGCTGGAGGCATGGTTCAAGCAGCAGATCACCTGCCAAGCAAGCGTGAGGCCCTGAGTTCAAACCCCAGGGCTCCCAGAAATCCTGAGACCACGTGATGCATTTTTTTTCTGTTTCATTTATACAGGTGAGAGAACCCCTTAGTTACTCACATTTTTCACAGGTGTTTGTTAGTGTTCAAACAGGGACAGTATCCCTATTGGTCTTAAGAGCACAACACCAGAGTCAGCTTACCTGCCCTTGAACCCCTGAGCTGCCTAGGTGGTGGAGAAAAGTGTCACTAAGCCTTTCTGCCATTGCTTCTTCCATACAAGAGGCATTACAACAGCGTCTGCCTCATAGGAATGTTGTGACTATTGTATGTGTTCCTACATGCAAAGTATCTAGAGCAGTGCCTGGTATACAGTAAGCACTATTTAAATGCTTGCTGTGGTTCAGGTTTGGTTGGATCCACTTGCCATTGAATATATGATGCAGTCAGCCATCCTGAAGGATGCCCAACCAAGCCCGTGTAGATAGAGAGTAGGCTGTGACTCCATGGTAGACTTTGTAAAGCACAGGAACGTCCATGAGGACTGTCCCTCCCCCGCCAAGACAGGAGGACTCAGATTTCCAACATGGGCGTTCCTTAGCTGAACACAGATGTCCTAAGACTAGGACAGGCTGCCACAGGTGATTATTTTATTTATTTGTTTGTTTTTTGGTGGTACTGGGGCTTTGCACTTGCCAAGCAGACTTGCTCTACCACTTGAGCCATGCCTCCAGTCCTTTTGGCTCTGGTTATTTTTGAGAAAGGGTCTTGTGTTTATGCCCAGGCTGGCCTGGACCATGATCCTCTATTTATGCTTTCTGCATAGCTAGGATGACAGGCACACACCACCACGCTCAGTTTTTTATTGACTGAGATGAGATCTCACAAACTTTTTGCCTGGGCTGGCCTTAAACCTCAATCCTCCCAATCTCAGCCTTCTGAGTAGCTAGGATTACAGATGTGAGCCACCATGCCCAGCTTGCCACAGATGATTTTGATACACTGGACTCCAAACATTGCCACATCAGATGAGCAGGTCCCAACCTAACTGTAATGCTGCCTTTTCCTCACACCTGCTTATCATGCATTTGTTCCCTGACTCTCTATGAGGAGAGCTGCTTTAGAATCTCCAGTTGCCAGGGTCAGTCACTGATTGTACAGGTACTCACTGAGTCCTGCTCTGGACTGAGGGGTTGCAGGAGCAGGTGAGACAGGACAGCAGTGTCTACCACTTCCTATTGGCTTACCTACATGGCTGCTTTGCTAGCTTTCTGTGTCCACCTGGCCTAGCCATGGGCATGAGTTTGCAGCCCTCCTTTCAGCTTCTGGAAGGTGTACCCAGCTCTCATCTCCGAACTTTTTTTTTTTTTTTTTGTGGTGGCACTGGGGTTTGAACTCAGGGCCTCATGCTTGCTAGGCAGGTGCTCTACCACTTGAGCCACATGCCAAACCCCAATCATCCCCAAACTTTTGTTTGTGCTGTGTGCACCATGTGGAATGGTCCCACCCCACTCTTCCCGCCTCACTTGGGCCATTCCTTCATTTTCTTGAGTTCTTGGCTTATACATCATATCTACTACACCTTCTGTGTTCCCAGATCTGGGCTATGTGCCTCTTCTCTGTGTCCCCATGGTTCTCCACATGAGCCCACACATCATAAAGAATTTTTATTAAATCACAGTATTTGTTCTCTCTTGGTTTTCTGTAGAGGCCATGAAAATGCCCTAGTAAATAGTTTACACCAGGCACAGTGGCTCACACCTGTAATCCCAGCTACTTGGGAGGCAAAGATGGGAGGATCGAAGTTTGAGCTACCCAAGGCCAAAAAAAAAAAAAAAATTAACAAGACTGTATTTTAAAGAACAAGCAGGTGTGGTGGTATGTTTCTATAATCCCACCTGGAGGTGTAGGTAGGAGGATCACTGTCTGAGGCTGGCCCTGGGCAAAAGATGTGAGATGAAAAGGGCTGGTGGAGTGGCTCAAGTGGTAGAGCATCTGCCCAGCAAGTGTCAGGCCCAGAGTTCAAACCCCAGTAATGCCAAAACAAACAAACAAACAAAAAGTTTGCTAGCATTTTAAACAAAGTGAAAGAAATATAAAGGTTTCCTTTAAAAGACAGAAGAAATCATATATATATATATATATATATATATATATATATATATAGGTGGTACTGGTGTTTAAACTCGGGGCCTCACACTAGGCAGGCACTCTACTACTTGAGCCACCTGCCAGTCCTGTTTTTGTGTTGGGTTTTTTGAGATAGGATCTCGTAAACTGTTTGCCAGGGCTGGCTTGGAACCACAATCTTCCTGATCTCTGCCTCCTCAGTAGCTAGGATTACAGGCGTGAGCCACCAGTGCATGGTTGGAATCCAGTGTATAGAATTTTGTTTCATTTTTTTTCCATTGAACAAGGTACAGGGTTCTCTCTGGGCTGATCTGCCTTATTTTCTTGGGCTCTTGTCCTTGAAGCACTGCCATCACTCTGACTCTCCCTGTTGTGGATAAAGACTTTTTGGTATTTTACATAACAAGGTGTCTTGCCTGAGCCAGACCTGGAATTCAAGGTCCTCCTTTTTCCTCCTTCATTACTGTCTCAGGACGACTGATGCTACCTACTGACTTAGGAGGGAACTGAGTTGACTTCTGGGGAAGGAATTCCCATCGCATCAATGACTGGGGGGCAAGCGAGCAGGGGTAGTGGGGACCTGCAAGCCCTTTGCCAAGAACCACCCTGGAAAGGCTGGAATTGCGGTTGTGTACAGAAAGACAAGCAACCCTGCTCCAAAACCAGAAAGTCCTGCAGATGAGAGTTTCGGGGTGCAATGCTCCCATCTGAGTGGTAAAATGACAAGAAAGGCAACACCTCAGGGTTCAGGCATCTCTGCTGGGTCTTTACACAAGTTGACCCTGGGCTGGGGTGTAGCTCAGTGGCAGAATGCCTGCTTTCTTAGGCCCTGAGTTTGATCCTCAGCATCAGGAAGTGAAAAACCAAGCTGACCCCGAGGAAGAAGCTGTTTCCCTCTTAGCAGAGGGCTGTGGCAGAGGCACTCACAGGCAAACACAAGGCAGCTCTGGAGCGCTGAACCAAGTGCACGGCTGACTTCAGCCTAAGTGAGCTGACAGTAGGGGGCTGAGGCATGAGGAAGTGGGTTGAGCAGCAATGAGGTGGTTCCAGCTCACCGAGACCTAAGGCACCAGTCCAGCCCAGAGCCAACACAGCAGGCGAAGGAGCCGGGACTCAGCCATGAGTGCAATGCAGAGACCCGGGAGCCTCCCCCAGATGCCAGAGGGTCCTTGAGAGGGTTGTGATATGATCAAATTGAGAAACTATGAAAGGAATGTTAAAAACAATCATACCTGGATAACTTACTATTATCATAACTGAATATGATATTATTTTAACAAAATATTAACAATGTTAGCTAGGTATGATTTAACAATAAGGATGATAGAAAGCTCTCACAAGGAGGTGGGGATTATTCCCACTTGACAGATGAGAAAAACTGAGGCTCAGAGGAATTAAGCACCTCATCAAAGTTAATAGATAGTGGAGTTTGATGTACATCCAGAATCCTTAAAAACAGCCACGATGATAACATGACAAAAGACACTTCTAGAGTGCTCAACCTCACAATCCACCCTCTTGTTATCTTATTTAGGCTTAACAATCTCACTTTCGTGGTTTTAATAAAGTGACTTTGAAATTAAGTTACATCTGCCCCTCCCTCTTCTCTGACCCTGACTCCACCTGCATGGTTCACCCAAGCTCACCTTCAGGGTCACAGGGTGGCTGGATTTGTTCTGAGAAGTCTCGAAGGCTCTTCTGGCCCCGTGGAATGGACCCCAAGGGCTGGACCTGGGCATCCTGTGTGATGTCAGAAGGGCCTGCAGGTGCCGAGGGCATTTGGGGCTGCTTCTCCGCCAGCTGCTGCTGCAACATGAGGGCTTAAGAGAGCTCAGTCCTAGCCAAGCCTGCACCATGATGGGCCTGCGATGGTCTCGTATACCACGTATACCACAGCCTGAACGTACAGAGCACAAGCGTGGGAGCTGCGGGAGCTCCTGGGGAGAAGGCAAAGGGGCAGTCGGAGCAGGTGAGGGAGGGAGCTGCTGAGTGGCATCGGAGGGAGGAGCAGAGTTTCCTCTTGAAGACCCTGAGAGAGTCCTGAGGTCAGGGTGTGGGCTTACCTGTCTCATCAGGAGGAGAAGCCAGCCTCCCAGGAGGATGGCTGTGAAGCTAGCTGCCAGCATGTCTTGGGATCCCAGCCCTGAGTAAGAATCTGAGGCTTTCTCTTCAGGATTTGGTTCTGGGTCCCAAGACTCCTCTCGGCTCAGGCTCAGGAGCTGGGGACAAAGAAGCTTTCACTCTTGGTTCTCCCTCTATCATGGAACTCCTAACACTTCCTCATCACCCAGTCCAGGGTCCAGGTTGGCTGAAGGGCAGTGAGTGGTCTGCATTTGGTGGGAACCATGTCGCTCTCCATGGTACTGACATGGTGCCCGGGAGAGTGGTTTTCCAAACCTAGCAGAGGACAGCATCTCCTTTGTGGGGTGTTACTAAAAGCACAGATCTCCACCTCCAGAAATTCAGAATTTTGTGGGTCTGGAGTGGGCTTCCAGGTGGTTCTCATGAGTAATCAAATGTAAGAATTACTGCTTCAAGGCATGGCTCTTCCTTCTGACCTTGAACTACTTACTAGTGCTTCTTAGCCAACCTTCTCCCAGGAGAGCATACTTTTATAGTTTTTCTGTTTTTGATTTCTTACTTGATGAATATTTTACAATGTTTACATTGAAGAAGAATTACAGAATAAACTGTGAACGAGGCTTCATGATTTAGGTCACCAATATCTTTTTGACACTTCTGGCAATAGCAACAGTAAAATGTTTCTCTTCTGGGAACAGATGTGAAATCAACTGGCCCAGAACCTAGCAGCCTAAGGAAAAGGCCCAAGGGCTGCTTGGTCCCACCGTACCCTCTGCCCTTCCAGCACTGACCTCCAAGAAGAGAGCCAGAGGATGGCTGCTTTCTGGGGGTCTCGTCTCAGCAGTCCTACTCCCTGGAGTGGGGCGAACCCTCAGCATAGTGGTATGCAGGACTGGGGGTGGTTCATGGTGTCCTAAGTGGCAGGGACAAAAGTCAGAGGGTTGACAATGACTTCAGCCTTCCAACTCAGAAACTTCATTCAAAGGTCATTAATCTTCCTCTACTCCAAATTTGTGCCAGGGACCTCACCAATGAGCAGCCACTGGCTAGGGAGGGCCACGCTGCCTGAGGGGTATCTGACGGCAGTGCTGGGTGAGCCCTCTCGCTCTCCTGAGACTTGGAGTGTCACCTCATCTGTGGTGGGGCCATCTGCAGGGGCCAGGGTCAGTCCACGAGGCTATGTAGAGGATGGAGAGCCGTGAGTGAAGGGAGCTCCTCTCCCACTCCAACCCTCCTGCTAGCCCACTCACAGACCCCCACTCACCACTAAGGCCACCCCTGTGTGCACTAGTGCCTTAGAGACATAGAAACCAGCTTCATCTTTACCCACATACAGCGTCATCCTACAGGAGGAGAGGAAAAGGAGAAGGATGGATGAATGATGGTGGGGAGTTTCAGTTCCCATGCCCCCATGTAGTCTCCTTCCAGGGTGACTCTGCTTGGCCATGTGACTTGCGCTAGCCAATGACAATAGGAGATATGATGCAAGCAGGGCTTGAAAAGTGTTTTACATTGAGGCCCTGATACCAGTACGTGAGGAGTCCAGTTCTCAAAAGGCATAAGAGACCTGGTGGAGTAGAAATGAACTGTGCTATTTGACAACACTTGGGGCAAAAAGAGTCCACCAACTATGAGATAGTGGTGAAGCCAGTCTAGCTTGTTGGTGCTACCAAGTCACCAGCTGACCATTTCCAGTCCTGGAAAATTATTTTGTTTTGTGACTGCGTCTAGCTATGTAGCCCAGGCTGGTGACCCTCTTATTTTAGACCCCTGAGTGCTGGGATTACAGGAATCCTGGGGGCATTTGGAGGGCACAATATATGTATATATAGTGTATGATATTTATAAATACTATACACAATATATAATACACATATATGTATAATGTGTGTATATATATATATATAATATACACTATAGATACATATTTTTCAGTAGTAGGGCTTGAACTCAGGGTCTCATGCTTGCTAGGAAGCTTGCTACCACTTGAGCCACTCCACAGCTCTTTCCCTTGTGGTGGCTTTTTTCAAGATAGGGTCTTGCAAACTGTTTGCCCAGCCTGGCTTCGAACTGTGATCCTCCTGCTTTCTGCCTCCTGAGTCACTAAGATTACAGGCGTGAGTCACCAGTGCCCGGCTAGGAGGAAACAATATTTTGACACTTGGTTCAGCCATCTTGCAGGTCATGGCTGAATATCCCTTCTGGCCATTAGCTTTGGGCCACACCATCTCCAAAGGGTCCCTCCCTGGGCCCCTGGTGTGGACACCTACAGAAGGTGGGTGTCCAAAGCAGAGAAGTGAGTGCCTGTGTCCTGGGGAGCCGAGACAGGCAGTCGGATGTGGCCCCAGCGGAGGGCGAGGAAGTGCAGGGTGTCCCGAGCTAGTGTGAGATGTGGAAGCTGGCGCAGGCCGTCCTGGTACCAGGTATAGATGCCCATCACAGGCACACCCAAGTCCTGTGTCCACAGCACTGCTCCACTGCCTGGGTCCACAGTCAACAGCAAGCCCATCCCACAGGATGTTAGGTGACTCATGTCTGCCGAGAAAGATGGCTGGGGAGATGTTAGACAGCTGCCACAAGAGGCTCCTGGAAGCATTTGGGACGGATGGTCCCTTGGGGGTGCAGAGGCCAAACGTGAGGGGACCAGTCATGTCATCCACAGGAATTCAGCTGTGGGGATCAACCTGTGTCACTTGAGAGAGTGGACTTAGGCTGTGAGGAGTCAGTCCCTGCCAGACTTATGGTCACTGGGGTGAGTCAGTCTTCATAAGCCTGGAGGCCTGAGGGTACCTGGGAGTGCGAAAGTACCACTGCAAGTCACTGTGATGCACCTGGGTTACCTGTGTGGGGCTCAGGCAGAATGCTGGAGCCAGGATCTTAGAGGATCCCTAGATGCACCTGTGAGGTCCTCCAGGAAATTGAGGGTGGACGGGTTCCTTGGGAAATGGTCACTTAGAGTCACCTGCAAGGGTCACTCAGCACCCAGGGCTCAGTTAGGGCCTGTGGAAGTTGCTCAGGACACCCTGGAGTTGCATGGGACACTTGGAATGTGGGGCTCACCTAAGGCTAGGTTGGGGTGATCTGGAGTGCAGGCAAGTTAGGTCACTGAGGCATTCTGAGGGTAGAGGAGGGTCAGCCTGGTTTTGGGGGCTGTGTAGGGCGTGTCATTTGGCACGTGATGGAACAGATGGGACAGCATGGGGGTGGGACTTGGTCATGGGTGCCACTCAGGGCTCTCTGGACTGGGGACCTTGTTCCAAGATGGGGCCAGAGAAAGGTGGTGCTCACATTTCCCAGGGGAGCCATCCATTGGGGGTGCTGAATAGCGGCGGTAGGTGGTGTTCCAGCGCAGGGCCGGGGCCCTCGGGTTGTGCATGGTGACTGTGTATTCTGGGGATCACCAGAAGCGGGGTTGCCAGGAATACCCCTGCAGTGCCTCCCCCTGCCACCCCAAGGGCTGTTCATCTTGTAGGCGTGGGGACTCCCTCTGCACCCAACCTGAAGGTATGATGACCACTACAGAGCATACACCAGGCCTGCCTTGTTTAAATTTCCAAACCCTCAGCCCCTTGTTCAGTGTTCAGTAAAATATATGTTGATGACTGATAGATTGACTAGCCTGGATTCAACTTGGATAGCAATTTCCAGGCTTGGGTAGAAAAAAAGGGGGCTTCCCAGAAGCTTGGGGAACACTGGGCTCTGCCTGACTTACGTGTTCGGCCAATGTAGAGGTGGGGGGTAGAGAGAGCCTCTGTGGTCAGTGTCGTCTGAGTCTCCCCTGACTCAGGGTCCACAACAAACCAGGCATCCTGCTTCCTGCCTGCAGAGGAGGAAACGGCCAGCTCTCAAGACGGTGTGGGAGAGGGCATGTGTCCTGTTGTACCTGTGTCAAGCTGGCCTGTCATGATCCAAGTTCCCATCCCTGCTGACTGGGCCTGGACCCCAAAGGCTGGAGAGATGCTCACCTGTATAGAAGACTCCGTCAGAGCTGCGGCAGGGAGAGGCGTGAACCAGCTCCGGGATGGTGAACGGCAGTTTCTAAGGAAAGAGAACAGGTTCAAAAAGGAGTAAGAGCAAAAATCCCATAGCACCCACTGTGGCAGGCACTCTTCTAAGGGTTGTCCATAGCAACCTTTCCATTAGGCTCTCATGATCATTTCCATTCCCCAGCTGGGGAAGAACTGGAGCTCAGAGGTGTTCAGTAACTCAACTGGTACCACACAGCTAGCAAGTGGCACAGCCAGGGTTTGAACTCAGGACAGGCTTCAGAGCCAGTACACTTCACGACTTTGCTACATAGCCTCTCTAGGAACTGTAGAAAATTCTACATCCAGTGCTAAAATGCCACCCAATTCACTTGATCCCTACCTGACCTCCTCAAAAGCACACATGAGACTTCAAAATCATCAATCACTTTGAGACTCATCTGTCCCCAAGAAAAGGGGACTCTCCTCCTCTTTTCTGAGGGAGATCCACTCCCCATTCCTTTCTGCCTTGCTCTCTCCCTGGAGTTAGAATTGTCTGGATTCTGTGAGTGGGAGCTTTCTGTTGGGTTTGGATACTGAGGACTGGGTGAGATCAGGATATGTAAGCCCTGTTGCCAGTCAAACACCACCCCACTTTCAGAAACAGAGCCCTCTAGCTGACCAGGAGCTGACCATAGATGCAAGCTCAATCCATCCAGACCAGCAGAAGAACTGCCCAGCTGAGCTCAGCCTAAAACATCATCTCACCAAATTTTGAGTTGTTTGGGTTTTAAGCCTTTGAATTTGGGGGCAACCTGTTATTTAGCAAAAGCTAACTGATGTATAGGTCTTCCCTTATCGCCCCAGAATCCTGGAGATGCCCCCACTATACCCCCAAGGCTGGACAGCCAGCTGCTCTGCAGACACAGTCAGACTCCTCCTGCCCTCCTTTTGAAAGACAGCATTCCCACAATGCCCCGACTCCCATCCTCTGCAGGACATCCAGAATTCTGGCCCCACTGCCCCTCCCTCCCCTGGTAGATGCTCTGGCTGATGGAGGCCTGGCCCTTGCCTGCCCCTGACTACTGTGGAAAACGTACCATTAATCCCTGTTGTTTCTGGGTCCCCATGATGTACAAGCTGCCATCGGCTGGGTCTGAGAGAAAGGCTGTTCTGTGGGGCAGAAAACACAGGAGACTGGGTGCATTCCTTGGTTTCATGACGGCCCTATCCCATTACCTTCTCAGCTAGCTGAGCCTGTCCTTGTGTGAGACACCTTGGAGCACCAAGACTCTCTCCCATGTCACCTCCAGTCCCAATTCTCTTCTTCCAACATGCTCTCGCTCCTCCCCCCACCCCAAAAAAACCCACACACTCTGGCCAACCACAGCTCTCCCTTCCTTAGAAGGCCCCAGGTTCACTTACTCTGTGACGTACATTGGTCCTTGCATGATGGGATCTGTAGGTATAGGACAGAGAGCATGAGTCCCCTCCAGACTCTCATTAAAAAGCACGGGGGCATACCGATTGTTTTCTGTGTGCCAGACCTGAAGCCCAGCATGTGACAAGAATACAATGTAATCTTCCCAAGAATTCTGTGAGGTGGGGTCATTATTACCCTTTGCCACATTTTATAGGTGAGGCCATTGAGGCTCAGATAGGTGCAGTGATTTTCCCCAGGCCACCCAGCAGGCAAGTGGTGAAGCTGTTTAGATACTGGCTTGTTGGTTTCTAGTGCCCATGTTCTTGTCTGCTGTGTCAAGGTGACTCCTCTGCCATCATACTCGGGCCCAAGGAGGGAGAAATGGCCATCCCCTGCTCACCATCCTTCAGCGTCCACTTCAAATCCCCTGTCTGCTTACTCAGTGCGTGGAGACTTCCGTCCAAGGTAGACACGAGCAAGAGGCTCTCTGGCCTGAGGGTCTGCACCTGTGGTAGGAAGTGATGTCAGCCCTGGTCGGGGGGCACCTTGCCCTGCCCAGGCAGGGCTGACAGGGACTCTTCTCCTCCCAGGGGACAGAGAAGAGGAGGAAGGGTGGCCACAGCCACCAACTCCGTGACCCTGTGGGAGTTACGGTGGAAGCTGAGGGTGCTGGAGGGATTTGGCTCCCACTGAGTCTAAATTCCCACTTCCTCCCCTCCTCCCGAAAGTTCTGATTTTCCAAAGAAGACTGAGGCTTTTACCAAAGGACCTCGCTGATCCTTACAGCCTCCCTGCCAGGTTGGAACTATGAGTGTCCCCATCGCAGGTCGGGGAGGCTGAGGCTCAGGAAGATTAGGAAGTTGGCTCAAAGTCACATGACGAATAAAAGGCACAACGGGGACTTAAGCTACCCTCTGACTCCAGTGCCTGGTCTCTTTCTCCTTAGTCTGCTTCTTTTCCTCGCCCCTCTCTTCCTCCCTAAACTTGCCCAGCAGCTTTTGGTGCCAGCCTCCAGTGGTGCCCGCGAACCTCAGCTGGGGGTGGGGGCAGGCAGAAGGAAGGGAGGCCGGGACTCCCCTTACATCTGGCCCCTGCTGAGCCAACTCGCCAGCTCTGCCCCTCCTTTAGCAAACAGGGTGAGGCTGAGCTCACAGCAGGAACCCTAACATCCGGGTGCCACATCCTGCTTCAGGACCCTCGGGTTTGGAGCTGGGCCCAGGGTGTTGGTGGAGAGTCAGGGAGCAGCCCCTCTTTTCTGGACCTCAATTTTGCCATCTGCAGCATGGTAAGAAGGAGGACAGGCCAGTGACACCTGGCTGCCCACTGCTGAATTTGTTTAGTCCATCAAGGTTCAAAATTTTGTTTTTCATTCACTGCCAATTTTTTTAATGGGAAGATTTCACTTTTTAAAAGTCCAGATTTTTCAGCCAGACACCAGTGGCTCATACCTGTAATCCTAGCTACTTGGGAGGCTGAGATTGGAAAGATGGAGGTTTGAGGCCAGCCCCAGGGAAATAGTTCCTTCATCTCCCAAATAACCAGAGCAAAATGGACTGGAGGCCTGGCTCAAGCGGTAGAGCACCTACTTGGCAAGCATGAAACCTCAGTGTCACCAAAAGAAAAAAAAATCCAGAATTTTCTAATTGTTCTTATTTCTAATTTCTCTGGAAACACCAGATTTGGCTGAACAGGGCCCCAATTTTTCCTTGCAACCATGTGTTGGGAGGAGTTGGGGCGCCTAATCTACCACCACAATCCCTTTGGCTCTGTGAGCTCTGGGGGCTCCAGGGTAGACAAGTGGATTCTGGGCCAGGACGCGAATGTCACCTGGCTATCTTTTTGTAAACGGGACTATTCGGCCCCAGGCAGGGTTAGATCCCATTCTGCACCTTAAGCTCATTTATCCCAGAGCTCCTGACTGGGGTCCTGGCATGGAGCAAGGGGGCGGTCGTGAAGCGCTGAAATTGTCACACTTCGCGTACGCAACTTCTCTGCAGAGGACCCTTAAGTTGATCATATTTTTTAAGGGAAGTCGGGACCCCCATAAGTTTTCAGAGGCCTGGCTTTACTACCAGCTGCCCCGGGCGCTCCGCCCGCCTCCCTCCCCGGCTGCGCCTGTCCACGCTGGCACCGCTCTCCAGCTAGAAGGTAGCAGGGACAGGTGGCAGCTCCCCAAATTTAGGAGGTTTCCGCTCGCCAGGGCCAGACTTGGGGTGACCCGGGCCGAGGAAGGGAGGGAGAGGCGCTCCCAGTGCCCGGCTGCACCCCAGTGCCCCAGCGCCCCAAGTCCCCACCCCCAGGCTCTCACCTGTGGCCCGAGCGTCCCGAGCAGCGCGGCGATCTGGAGCCGGAGCCCGAGCGAGGGCCACGGCCGCCACCCCCGGGCCGTGCTCGCCATAGCGTCGTGGGCAGCCGCACGGTTGTCCCGGTCCCTCGGTGCCTCCAGGGGACCTCACGACCCCGCCCCGCTGGGAGGAGACTCCGCCCGGGGCTGAGCCAGTTGGGACGCCTAGCCTTGGGCGCAACCTCAGCCTCCAGTCCCCTCCCTTCGCATCACACTCCTCACCGTGGCCCTCCCACCCCGTCACCTCTAAGCCCCCCTGGGGGCTGTTTATGGACAAGTCACCACGTGCCTAGCACCTGCTGCTTTTTCCTTCCCTCAGTGTCATGGTCATAGGAGTACCCACGGCAGATCTCAGACTGGAACTGAAAGTCCATCTGTCTGGACTCGAAGAGTAGCTCTTTATTGTTATACCAGGGGCCTCCTTAGCGCTCTTCTGAAATGTATATTAATTGGTGGCTTCAGTCATTCCTTCAGTATTTATTATGACCCATTTATGTGGCAGCCTGGTGAAGAAGAGAGAAGTCCTTGTCTTTTTTTTTTTTTTTTTTTGGTGGTACTGGGGTTTGAGTTTGAACTCAGGGCCAACACTTTGAGCCACTCCACCAGCCCTTTTTTGTGAAGGATTTTTTTCCAGATAGGGTCTTGCAAACTATTTGCCTAGACTGGCTTCAAACTGAGATCCTCTTGATCTCTGCCTCCTGAGTAGCTAGGATTACAGGTGTGAGTCACCAGTACCCAGCTAACTCCTGGCCTTTGTGGAGAGAACAGATTCCTATGCTGTAGGTAATTCAGATAATCCTGTGTGGAAGGACGGCTTGCTGTGGCAGTGACCGTCCTTGCTTCAGTCAGACCTCACCATCTTGGTTCAGGGAGGGCCTGCTTAAGTCTCTGAAGGTAGGCTCTGCTTGGTTTCCAAATTTTGGCTCATTTGCTTCTTTCATTCTTATATAAAAATCCCTGCACCAGACACAGTGAGAGAGGAGAGAGAGAGAGAGAGAGAGAGAGAGAGAGAGAGAGAGAGAGAGAGAGAGAGAGAGAGAGAGAGAGAGAGAGAAGTAGATACTAGGAACATAGATGTTCAACACCAGCAAGGACAAAGTTAGTGAGAGCCTATCTCAACCAAAAAGCTGGGTGTGGTGGTGCGTGCTTGCCATCCCAGCTGTGGGAGCATAAATAGGAGGATCTCGGCCTAGGCCAGCCCAGGCATAAAGGCAAGACTCTTCAAAAAATAGCTAAAGTGAAAAGGGCTGGAGGTGTGGCTCACGTAATACAGAGCTTGCCTAATAAGCAGGAGGCCCTGAGGTCGAACCTCAATACTGCCAAATACAAACTCCCTGCTGCTTCAGAGCCACCTTTTCTCTCTTCTTTTTGTCACTCATTCCCCTCTTAGTCATGTTTCCACAGTCACAGAAGACCTGGTAGCTGGCACCTAGCTTTTATTTCCACCCCAATCCAGTCTTGACATTGACACTGTCAGTGGCCATAGGGACAGCCCAACCAGAATCACAGCCTCTCACTTTGGTGACTTGCCTCTCTAGAGACCTTATCCTCTATACTACCATCCCATGGCTATACCCTGGACCCGGTCACACTCTGAATTGTATTGTCTCTGACACCCTTTCTCTGACTATAGCTTCCTATCCTTGTAGCTGTTTCGCCTGCTCATCCTCCCAAGGCCTGTTTCTGGTCCTATGGTGCTACCTTCAGTCCCTGGTCTCTCCCCTGCCTGGACCTTTTTCAGCTCGGACCTCTCAGCTGGTCATCTGAGACACACCACTGTCTTGGGCTGGTATGCCTAGAAGCAGAGGCCATTGTGGGGATTGTTGTAAAAGTAGTTTATTGGAGTAAGGCTCTCTGGATCAGGAGGACATGAGAGAAGCAGGACAGAACAGGAGAAAGGACCAAAGAAGGATGGGGTCTCAGCTGATCCCACAGAGAGGAGGTCAGCCTTTTGTTTTCCTCTGTCAGCCACTGGCTACCCCATCTCTCAGGCAAAGCAACTTTTGACAGTTGAGAGAATTTTCTGCAGAAGGGTCAGTGAGAGCCCTTAGCAGCTAACTCTCTCAACCTCTGGTGGATGGCAGCCCACCATGAAGGTGATCCACACAAGCTGGCGACAGTACTCATAATAAAGGGTGCTCTTGTTCTTTTTTCTTATCCAATGGAACTCCATTCTGGAAAGATACCACCAACTACTTTTTTTGCTCTCACCCCAGGGTCTTAAACCTCAGCCAATCCACCCAGTGGTCACTTCCTTGCCCTCCTTGGCCAGCTCCTCTCCAGACCCTTCAGAGACTGGCTTTCCAAAATCATAGCAATGCTCCTCTATGTTTTCTGGCCATTTTTGGCCATGGTGAGCCCATCCTATGTGATATCCCTTACATGAACTCCTTCATCTCCCACTTCTAGGTAGGAGTTCATCTCCAGCCACATCTGTCCTCACCACCTTTCTCAAAACTTCAAGGGATATGTGCCCCCGTTTCTTCACATGCTTCCTCTGGGATAATAACCTTAATACCAATAACAATAAGACCACGAAATGAGTGTAATCTTCAAGTTACCCTTCATAATCCTCTGAACCACTGAATAAAGGGAACTAATGTGACTCCTGTTTAACAAAGGAGGAAACTGAGGCTCAGAGAGATTAAGCAACATGCCCTAGGAGAAGAATCAAACCCTGGTGACCTGATTCTAGAGCCCATGGGCCTAAGCAAAATCTTCTCCTGTTACCTAGCATGGCAACTCATCCCAATTCTCCTTGAAGGGTTCCTTGCTGTAGATGAGGTAAACATGGATAGTCACCGCCTATAGGAGCCCAGAAGGTCACGTGGCTGAGTACACAGCCAGTGGAACCATGGTAAAGTCCAGTGAGTTCTCTACATAAAAAAGCACCAGCAAAAATCTTGGGATGGTTCAGATTGGTCTGGTTTTGGACATGTGGCTATCCCTGAACTAATCAATGAGGCTGATGGGCTAGGGCACTCTGATTGGCCAGACCTGGGTCATGTGTCCACATGCCTGAGGGTGAGGTCAGTCCCACTGGAAATACCTGAACTGACGGTTAAAGAGGGATGGATGGTTCTCCAGGGAAAAGTTGAGCAGGTGAACAATGACTCTGACTTATGTTTACAATAAATTATTTATGGTTAATCTCAGTAGATTCTTGGTTCTGTCTTAAATCATGGAGAATTGCTTGTGAGAGGTACTGTTGCTTTCAGAAGCGTAGCTGTAAAGAAAAGGAAGAGGTGAGGTCAAACTACTTGCTATCAGTGTCTGGCTTACCCCACCCTTTCTCATTCTTCTCTTCATTTCTCTCTACCTGTACTCTTGATTCCACCCTTACTGTATTCTCCTACTCCACTTTATTAACACTGCCCCTGCACCCTGACCTTGACCCTCACCTTGAATCCTGGTTGCAATCAGCTCACCATTGCCAAAGTGCACCCTAGCCCTGTAAGTGGCTCATACCTGGCTGGTGCCCCTTGCCCCAGCTGCTCCCCCTTGCCGCAGCTGCTCCAAGGGTGGGTTGCCAAGGGCTCACAGGAGCCTGCTTCTTTATAGAATTGCCCTTGGCTGACTGGACCATGTCATCCTGTGCCCATGACCAAGTAACAGAGGGGTCCAAAAGATGGGATCCTTTGCCTCAAAGTGGGACCAACTTGGTTCATTTCTTTCCTTGGCTCCTTCCCCTGCCCTGTCTTGCTCCTTTCAATCCCCTTATTCCTGGAGAGCTCATCCCCACCCATCACTGGAACAGAACCCCTGTCCCACACTCCACTTTTTTCAGATCCAATCCAAGACACCTCGTAATCACCTTTCCATTAAACTCAATTGTGAAAAGTCCAACTTTCTGAAGACACAAAAACCTCCTTTCAAAATATATGCATCATGGTTCCATAAGTCAACAGGGTGATGGTAGCTCACAATAACTTGTTACATATTTTTTGAAAAACTACAAGACAGGATTGCAAAGGTCCAAACAGAAAGCATGAGGAGGGGATGGAAATACTGTGTTGATTTGATCAGAACACATTGTTTACATGTATTGAAATATCGCACCATACCCATAAACATTACAATTATGTGTTAGTTAAAAAGAAAAAAATAAACTGGGCATGGTGGCTCACACCTGCAATTCCAGCTACTTGGGAGGCAGTGATTGGGAGAATTGAGGTTTGAGACCTGCTCATACAAAAAGTTTGAGAGACCCCATCTCAACCAATAAAAGCTGGGTATGCTGGTGTGTTCCTGTTACCCAGCTATGTGGGAAGATCAAAGTCTAGGCTGACCCGGTGTAAATGTGAGACCCTATTTGAACAAATAACTAAAGCAAAAAGGGCTGGTGGCATGGCTCAAGTGGTAGAGCACCTGCCTAGAAAGTGCAAGGTCCTGAGTTCAAATTCTAGTACCGACTGACCTCACCCCCCAAAAAAAAAACCAACAAAAAAGAAAATTGAAAACATACAGCAGGAAGCTTTGTGTTTACTTGTTGTCCCCTCATGCTGAACTGTTCCAGTGTTCCTCATAGGAGCCCTAACTTCCTAACTTCTCACGCAGTAGCTTCTTTGTTTTGTACTTTCTATGCTGGACGTTTGTTCTGGGATGCACATTGGGTTTGCTAAACGGGTTTGGGTTCGTCATGCAGTAAATTTGACTTGTGTAGAATAAAAACTCCAAACAAACTGGAATAAATAATTTGACTGTGTGTGTGATGATAAAAGTAATACATATTCTAGAAACTTTGAAAAATTTAGAAAAGTGTGAATAAAAAAAGAAAATCCCTTCATGGTTCCATCCCTGGAGGCAGAGCTTCCATGTTTACACCCCAGCATGTCTCCTGTGCTGTTCCCCTTCTATGTCTGGTGAGGGCCTGTGCTGAAATACTAACATGTTTTCCCCTCTGGAGTTTCCTTGCCCCCACAGCCTTCTCTCATTCAAAAGCCTGCTCTGAATTTACTGCCTGAGGGAAGGGATGAAAAAGCAGGAGGAGAAAGTGTTCTAGATTGTGAGTTCTCAAAGAACTCAGGGAATGAACCTAGATTTGAAAGAAAAAA